GCAGAGTGGTGTTTCAAAGGCTCTCCACCCCAGGTGCTGTGCTGACAACACTCCAGGGTGCAGGGTGAAAGGAAGCTGGCAAGGCTGATGGCCGCCTGGATCGGGATAGCTGGGGGGAGAAGAGAGGGGCAGGGGGGTATCTGGAAATGGTCAAAATGTGCATACCCGAGTCTTCTGAAGGAAGGGCCAAGCTTGCTGAACAGATTGAACATGGGATGAGGAAAAACCGAGTTGTCAAAGATGACAGCTGAGCTAGAACACAGCTGCCACCTATCATGCTGAGGCAAAACCATGAACTGACAGTATGGTACAGACGTTCCAGATAACTGCACTGTCAGTTGTCACTTTCACTCCTTCCTCCCCTCACCAAAATAATCTAACCAGGGCAGTCTAGACTGAGCAACTGTCAGGTGAGCCTGCACTCAAGAAGTCCTGGAGGCACCAAGGTTACCCATTCGCCTGGAACCAAAATGCTGGTAGTTAGAGCCCACCGGCTGAGAACGGGTGAGGCAGTCAGCTTCAGCGAAATTTACAGCCTTGGAAACCCTCGCGGTAATTCTCTGTTCTATATGGTCCCTCTGAGTCACAACTGACTCCAGGGCAATGGGCCTTTGGTAGGATGTCTTAAATCAATCTCTTTTAAGATGTGAGAGATTAAACAAGGGATGAAAGCAGAGACTGGGAGGAGGGAGGGGAAACAGTAATAGATGCCAAACCACGGGGAGATCTCCAAGGAACCAGAAAACAGCTAGCGAATCAAGGATCTTCTCTCGGTAACAGAGGCTGTCGCCCCTTAGAGCCTGTACCTTGAATTTGGACTGCCAGCTTCCTAAAACTGTGACAAACAAGTTTCTGCGATAGCGCTGTTGTCGTTGCTATGTGCTGGGGAGTCAGTTCGAGCGCAGTGACCCTATGAGGTCTACTCTGTGATAATGCTGCTGCTGTTGCTGCTGCTCTTGTTGTTAGGTGCTATGGCGTCGCTTCTGACTCACAGTGACCCTGTGTACAACAGAATGAAGCGGCGCCCAGTCCTGTGCCACCCTCACCACTGTTCCTGGGTTTGAACCCAGTGTTGCTGCCACTGAGTCAGTCCATCTTGTTGAGGGGCTTCCTCTGTTCCACTGCCCCTCTACTTGACCACGCACGATGTCTTTCTCCCGCACTGGTCTCGCCCAACATGTCTGAAGTATGTGAGCAATCCTTGCCTCTAAGGCAGGGGTTCTCAACCTGTGGGTCCTGACCCCTCTGGGGGTCGAATGAGCTTTTCACAGGGGTTGCCCAATTCATCACAGTGGCAAAATGACAGTGATGAAGTAGCAACGAAAATAATGTTATGGTTGGGGGGTCACCACCACGAGGAACTGTATGCAGGGATTGCAGCATTAGGAAGGTTGAGAACCACTGCTGTAAGGAGTCCTCTGGCCGTCCTTCTTTCAAGACGGATTTTCTGTGATGACAGCACACCATAACTCAGGTCACTGAGATTCTACCCAATTTACCCCTTTCTGTGTTGGGAGGAAGAGGGATGCAGATACAAGCCCTAGAACTTAACGACACTGGAGCTCGTCTTTTTCTACGTCTCAGCTAACTTTCACTTCTAGTTGAACTTCAATGAACTTTTAAATTCTAGTTCTCTGGGATATTTTCATGATACAAGGAAGAGAGAAATGATACTTGAGTACTTCACATCAGCTTTTGCTACGTACTGAAATCAAGCATTCTCAAGGAGGTTGAAAATGCTCATCAATATATTTAAACTCCTTATTAATCAAAATAAAAATGGATGCATGTATACAAAGAGATGTATGTTTCTATATGTATGCATATGTATGTGGAGTGTGTGTATCTGTGTACCTACCTTAAAAAATATATGTCCTCACAGCCTGATACTGAATATATGTCTACCAAAAAAACACTCTAAACAACAGGTAATACCCCAAGATGTGCCCACCCAGCCAGGTGTTCCCAACCCCAGCTGCATATTAGAATTACCTGGAGGGCTGGGGCCAACGCCCAGTTTTGGATTTCTGCTTTAATTGAAACCAATGTTCAGAATCATAGGTTAGGTAAATTCTAGAACTATCATTTACTAAATTTGGGAGAGAGAAAAAAAATTTTGGGAGACAGGGGATGCATTTTTTAAACATGAAATTGATATTACTGGATATAGACTAGCATTATCAGATGAATCCTGGAAGAGGGGACCTTACGGCCTAAAGTCAAAGCCATTGTTGCTGTTCGGTACTGTCAAGTTGGTTTCAACTCATAATGACACATGTTCAGGGGAAGGAAACACTGCCCAGTCCTGTGCCATCCTCACAATTGTTCTTTGTTTGAACCCATCGATGAAGTCACTGGGTCAATCCAGCTTATCTACAGTCTTCCTCTCTTTCACTGTCCTGCTGGCCTACTAAACCTGAAGTCTCTCCTCAAAACACGTAAAGTCTCACCATGCTTGCCCCTATGAAGCACTCTGGCTATTCTTCAAAAACCATTAAGCAAACAAAATAAAACTCACGTCACTTGCCTATGATTTGCACAAACTACCTTTGATCTGCACAGTAACAGTGTGCAGTCTTCCAAATGTTCCCTCAAAAAATGCTTGATGGCTGAACTTAGGTTTCTTTCAAATGAAAGAATATACAATACTATTCTATTGCCTTCTGTAATATCCTGAAACACCTTAGAGCCAAATACTTACAATCACTTTTTTCCTATTCCCTTAACCATGGTCAATAATAGTAGGCAGCCTGACTTTAAGAAATGTTCATCTTCCTTTCATTTGCATTTTTCCTCATTAAAAAAAAATCTATCTAAAATATAAAGCTTCCACCAGACACTAGTGCATCAAATAAAGGAGAAATGATCTCCAAATGTTTTGCATGTCAGCACTGTACAGGACTGGGTATGTTACAAGGTAATACTGACACGTGTCTTTATTATATCCTTTTAAGTGATTTGGGATATCTCACTGCCGTGGAGTCAGTGCTGACTCACAGTGAGCCCTTATGGGTTTCCAAGACTTAACTGTTGACAGGAGTAGAAAATCCAGTCTTTCTCCCATTGAGCTGCTGGTGGTTTTGAACTGCCCACCATGCGGATCCTATTTGGGCTCTAGCAGTAAGCAAAACAGACAAGATACCTTTACTACCTTTACCAAAATTCACTGCCATCAAGTCTATGCAGACTCATAACAACCTTATAGGGCAGGGTATAAATGCCCCTATGAATTTCCAAGACAGTAACTCTCTACAGGCATACAAAGCCCTCACTCTCTCCCAAAGAGCAAAGGCCTGGCTGATGGTTTCAAACTGCTGACCTTGTGATAAGCAGCCCAACAGGTAACCACTCCACCACTAGGGCTCCTATTTTATACCCTTAGATGCTTTCAAATACAAACGACATCTGAAAGGTAGGTTAAGATAAAGAAAGTCTAAATTACCAGTAAAAATATTATGAACATAATTGCCTACTATAAACTAGGTGTTGTATTTGTCTCTCTATAGATAATGTTCATTTAGTAAAGATGTTCTCCTTTATAGATGAACTTATCACAAAGAAGAAAATAAAGCAGATCGAGCAATGAGAAAATTCTTCCCGTTAGTCGAGTTTAAACTTGGCTTTCCACACTCCAGTGAATGTTCTGTCCTACAGTTGACCAGAATGCGTTATGACATAGACAGTTGTGTCAATTCATTCATACAAAAACCTCGTTTCCAATTAGTTCAACTAGATCAGATCAACTTGGGAGAAATTTCCGAGTTTAGAAAGACAAGAAGAAAAAAAAGAAAGACAAGAAAACCAAGCTGTCATAAAAACATATTTCTGATTTAATTGTTTTAAGTCAAAGATTATGCAAACTCTACTTGAAGCATCATGTGTAAACGCTCACTCTAAGATGTTATTAAGCCAAGGCGCTTATTGATAAATTAGTATTTTTAAAGGTAGTGTAAGTCAATAAAATAAACATTGCTAGACACAGGCAACAGTCCCTTCCTTTCCTTTAAGAACTCTAGTTCAAACCAAAGTCACCCAGATCTGTCAGAAATTCACTTGAGTACCGTGCAAACATTCGTTTTTTGAGAATTCTTTTAAACAGCACAGGGTTATTTCACCAGAAACTATATCCGGATCATTCTGATGATATTCTAGGAGTTTTAAGAGCATTTTCAAGTCAAGCTATTTGATTAACCACCCTCCCCAACAACAACAAAAAAACCTTTTTAAAAAATCATATTTGGGAAAGAGGGGTGGGGTGAGAGTCAAGTAGAGTTAACTTTCCAAGAAGCTGACGCAGATCAACCCTGTTCTCCAACTCTAGACGGAGACCACGATTCCAAAAGGGAGAGTACTTCTCAGTTATGCCGAGGGCTATCCAATACCCTCACTTTCCAAAGGGCAAGCCACCCACCCTACTGAAGGACCAGTATAACTTGGCTTTAGGCGACCTTAAGGCAGTCCTCGGAATCCCAAGCTCTCCAGCCCCGCCGCCCCCAGCCTACACGCTAGCTATAGGTGCTGTCTCCAGAAGGACCAGCCGATCTCACCCACGAGCCGCCTGCTCCTCTCGACCTGCAGCGACCAGACAACAGCCGGTACTCCCGGGTTGGGAAAGTTTCCCCGATCGCTGGTGCAACCCAGCCCCGAGCGAGGGGAAGCCCTTCAGATGCTGCAGAGCCCAAGGGTTGGCGCGGCGGAGACCCGCGGATTATCCCGGTGGCAGGGACGCGAGTACCCCATGATGCACACGGTGAGCCGGGGCATCCAGGGGAGCTGGGGGAGCGGGGCGGGGGGGTGGGGGCGGACAGGGAGAGCGAAATCGGCACAAACTGCACAAGAAGCTGGGTAGGAAGTTCGAGCCAGGTGGAAACAGCCGGGGGAGGGGTGGTGTCAAGTCTTGGGGGGGGGGAGGAGGGGTGGGTGGGGGAGGGGCGCCCGTGGCGAGGCTCGCCCCGTCGTTCCCCGGGGCGCGAGGGTGCCGACCCCGGCCCGCGGCTCACCGTCGATGTTCTCCCGGTCGCTGATGTGCTGCAGGTTGCAGCCCGTGTCCTCGCGGCTCAGGTCCGTGTCGGGCCGGTAGGACTCCAGCCGCGAGTGGGCATTTCTCCTGAGCTTGGGGCTGGACGACACGCAGCACGAGGTAGTGTTCCCCATCTTCGGCGGACCCCCGGCTCCTCCTCCGCTCGCTCGGGCC